ACTGGGCCATGATGGTGTGAACGTTTTGTCTGATCCGAGGTGAATCTGATTCCTTGGAGAGTAGGACAAGTCATAAGAGGGCCACACAGCATTCTGACATAATGATAATAATGGGAGGATAAACACTGCCCACAGCAGTAACCTGGACAGGAATGAGCTCCATCCTCTATAAATGCATAACCCAAAATAATTTTAGACTATTCCAAATAAACATAAATTTTACAGGAAAAAAAAAAGTCTTCCAATTCTGTTCCACCCACGTGACACATTGCAATATCCTCTTCCACTTGGCATAGTAACCTTCTGGAACCAAACCCATCTTTTCAAAAAGAGACACACATTCTTTTTCCTTTACCTGGATTCCAGGACTAGAGAAGAATTCCAGGAACTAAGTGAGAGAGAAGAGGAAGACAGGACAGTTCTGGCTCCACTTTGTCAATGATACACAATGAAGGGAAATGATCAAGTGATCATTTGACCTCTACGAGGGATTTAATCCTCAGTGTAATGACTTATATTCATGAAGGGTAGAGGGCACTGGGAGTTCTGCCTGTCTAAGAAGGGAGAAGCCCCCTCAGACAGGGTAGAGTTTTGTCAAAGAACCTCCAAGCAAAAGTAGACAAAAGTAAAAGATCTTTTCCAGTTTGGACCCATTGTCCTCTTACCATGGCCAGTTTTTCTCCAAAGTATCCTGGGACACATTGCTGTCCTTCTGCAGCAGCAGTGTCACGAAGATCAGCCTTGTTTCCTACCAGCATGATAGGAATACTTTCATGGGTGGCATCCTACCATAAAGAAAAGAAGTGTGAACACATGAAACGCTGGACAAGTTATGATGATGACAGCAGCAGCTACCATTTCCAAATGCCTCTTGTGTCCCACATGGTGTATTGATAATATCCTTAAACCCCAAAATCTCTAAAAAGGTGAGAACACTGAAATTCAAAGTGGTTAAATAGGAACTGGTAAGGGCGTGGGCCAGCGTCCAAATTGACCGCATCTCCCTCCCCACTATACAAACCAACATAAACTCAAGAAGCATAACCACAGAATTACATTCAACAGTGGTAACCACATCATTTTCTACAACTNGACTATGAGGGAACTAAGCCACTTGCTAAGGAGCTCAGCCTCTATGCTGTAGGTAGGACTCCAATGTGGGGCTGTAAGCAAGAAAGTAGTAACTGAATTTCTATGTATAAAAGTTACCCTGATTACAGGGTGGAGGATGAACTGATGTTGGAGAAATGCTGAGGCAGAAACTTAGGTGGCCCCCTGCACTAAGCCAGGCAGGAAATTCCCACACAATAAATGATCAAACCTGAAGCAAAAAATAGGGACAGGTTCAAGAAAGATTACAGAGAGGCCAATGAGTAAACACAGATCCAGAACTCACTAGAGGCAAATGATGATGGAAGAGATAAGGAGTTAAGATTGACTTCAGGGCACTATTTTTAATTACAATTTTGGTAATTTCTCAAGAGAATATAGAATGAGGAACGACTTTAAAGAAAACTTAACACATTAGGATTTGGATATGTTACGTCAGTCACACCTATGGAATTTCAGTTGATGGTAGGTGGGAATATGATTACGGAATCTTAAAAAGAGACGGGGGTTGAAAATGCAGAAATTGAAAGTCACTAGCTAGAAATAGTTTTAGAAACCATGGGGATGGAAGACATTAGGCAGAGAGAGACAGAGTAAAGAGGGAAAGAGTGCTGAATGGAATCCTAAGATTACCAATATTTAAATGGCAAGCCAGTGATTTAGATTAGTAGTAAAAAGTCTCAATTTTGTCACTTAGAAGCTGTGTCACTTTGAGTAAGGTGATAAAGCATTCTATTTCTCAATTTTCTTATCTGTACAATGGGTACAATAACATAGCATCCTCGTAAGGCAACCCACATCTCCCCTTCTGGGAGGTCCAATGGCCTCTGTCCGCTACATATCGTATGGCTGCCTAGTCACATTTTTTCTTCTCTTTTTTATTTTTTCTCTAATGTTAAATTGCACAGCCTGTCTTACATCCCCTTGATATCTCCACTGAACCATGTACAGGGCTTTCACATGCTGAGTGCTCATAATAATGCTGACATTATTGAGCCTGACAGCAAATATTAAGGGGGGAAAAAATAGGTGCCCGCATCATTCATCTGGACTACAGTCTCTTTAATCCAC